ACTACAGCCCGCGGGCCACATGCAAATACAAATATTGTATTTTTTCCTGTTTTGTTTTTTTACTTCAAAATAAGATATGTGCAGTGTGCATAGGAATTTGTTCATAGTTTTTTTAAAACTATAGTCCGGCCCTCCAACGGTCTGAGGGACAGTGAACTGACCCCCTGTTTAAAAAGTTTGAGGACCCCTGTCCTATAGTCTGCTAATTTCCTTTCACCCATACTCTGCTTTCCATTTTCCAAAATGTAGTTGACATCTTTTTCATCTGAAGTCAACTCCTCTCTTTTCTTTTCCTTATGAGTTTATTCACTTTTTATTAATTTACTGTCATCTTAGTGGTGTTTTGGGATGAAGTAGAGATACACATATGTACTCAATTCTCCATGTTTAACAAAAGCATCCCTTTCTATTTTTGAATATCTTTCATCGTCATTAGATGGCACAGGAGCTGGTAGAATTTAAAACTTCTGCCCCTTTGTTTTCTGTATCTATAGCCTTAAGACAACAAAATATATTGAATTCTCTGTACTGGTTTTCCTTTGGTGGTTATACGTGAACTGGGTTTTTTGCTTTGCTTTTTAAAATTCACTACATTCTTTTTCTGGATCACAACAAGGCCCATAACAGTGGGGGCCACACTGCCCTGACAGGGCTCACATGGAGCTAGTAGGGAGGAAAACTGGCAGCAAAAAGCATGTGCTCTATTTTAACCTGCCTTTAAATGGTAATGTCCTATTCTCTAACACTGTATGTGTTGTTGTTGTTTTTTTCTGACTTCCCTTTCTTTTTCACATTGTGATTTTTTTATTGTGAGTCCGCACCCTTGGAGGAATTTTCAGGGCCCCCTTTCACATTTGCATTTCCCATACAGTTTTATTTTCCATTTTCTCTCTTCTTATTGACCTGTAGCTTTGTGGCTTCACCTTCCTGACCCTTGTTTCTGTGGCTGCTCTCCCATAATCCCTGCTCCACACAGGACTGCCCATTTTGCCCTTTAGAAGCTACGGCTTTCCTCCTATCCTTGAGAACTTTCTTCATACAATGAAAAGCAAAGTCCACCCATTCTCTGGCCCCTTGAGCGAGAGCAGGACTTTCCTCTCCTTAATTAGCTTTCTTTTTAGAGCACTAATTTATCTTCATGCTAAAGGGAATTTGTTCTCCACTTAAATGTGGCTTTTCTTCTCTAGGACCTAAGAAATTTCAAGTGTCTGGAATGCACGGCCAAAATAGTGGTGCTTTTCACTTTACATGCTGCAACCTCGGTTCTTTCTGGCCAGTAATGCCAATCACTTTTATTGGCTAATTTCCCATTTTTATAAGAAATTCTGGATGGTGGCATGCTTAATCAGAGAAGCAGTCTCAATTATTTACTCTTACTGTTCAGTTATAATTATTTACCTTCTACTGGAAAATCTAGCCTCCCCTCCCCTCTCTTCATCCCAGCAAAAGGAAATTTGCCCCCCTGGCATGTCCTTAGATGACTTTCCCTGTGGGATGATCCCTCTCTACTCCCCAGTAATGATCTATAATCATTTGTATACCATCTCGGCCTCCTGTATCTTTCAAAAGTCTGCTTTATATATTTTTAAATCTTTATTGTTGAAAGTATTACATATGTCTCCTTTTCCCCCTTGACCCCTTTCTAGCCCTTCCCACCCTCCGCCCGAGTGGCTTCCTTCTACAACTAATGAGCAGGAAGAGCTCCAAATGTAGCTCCTTTTGTCTGAAAGCGACATTCACTGTTCACTTTTAGTCATTTCTCTGGCCAAAATTACCTCGAGGGGCCCTGAGATTGGTAGCCCTAAAATGGCCCTCTGTGCCTGCCCTCCTGCCATTCTCACTCATGTGCAATCCCTTTGCTCTGACTGTGGGCTGGGCTTATTGACTCAATTATGATGAGTAGAATACAGCAGAAGCAATGGGATGTCACTGCCGAGATTAGATTACGAAAAGACTGTGGCTTCTCTCTTGGGCACCCTCTTTTGCACTCTCTCATTCTTGTTCACTTGCTTGCTCTGAGGGAAGCCAGATGCCCTGTGGTGAGCTGGTCTATGGAGAGGTCTATGCTGTAAGGAACCGAGGGAGGCCCCTGGCCTCCGGCAAGGTGCTGAGACTCTGAGCCCAAGAGCCATGAGGAAATAAATCCTGCTCACAGCCACAAAGTCAGCCTGGAGGTCAGTCCTCCCCAAATTGAGCCTTTGTATGAAATGGCAGCCCCTGACAACCTGATACCAACTCCATGAGAGGCCTTGAGCCAGGGGCACCCAGCTAAGCCACATTCAGATACTTGACCTACAGAAATTATCTATACTAGTAATAGAGGGGTATGCAAATTGTCTGGGACACCATCACAGTAACAGTAATGACCAAATAGCAGGCTGCATGGGGCAACCAGGCTGGCAGGGGGGTTAGTGAGGGACGACTAAATGACGGAACAGCAGGCTGCGTGGAGTGACCAGGCTGGCAAGGGGGTTAGTGAGGGATGACCAAATGACTGAAAAGCAGGTTGTGTGGGGCAACCAGGCTGACAGGGGGGGCATTTGGGGGCAACCAGGCCATCAGGGGGGGCAGTTGGGGACAACCAGGCCAGCAGGGGGGCCAGTTAGGGGTGACCAGACCGGCGGCGGATGGGGGGCAGTTAGGGCGACAAGGCCGGCAGGCAGAGGCGGTTAGGGGTGATCAAGGCTGGCAAAGGGGCCAGCTAGGGGTGGTCAGGCAGGCAGGTAGGTTAGCCAGCAGTCCCAGATAGTGAGAGGGATGTCTGATTGCCAGTTTAGGCCCAATCCCAGTTTCCCAAGAGGTCCCGGATTGGAGAGGGTGCAGGCTGGGCTGAGGGGACTCCCCTTCCCCCGTGCATGAATTTTGTGCACTGGGCCTCTAGTGAGGTAATAAATGTTTGTTGTTTGAAACCACTGAATTTAAGGCTAGTTATTGTGCAACAATGGAAAACTAATGTAGGCCCTTAAGGACAATTTTTTAACTTTAGTCTATCCTTTTTATATGGTAAGTTTCTGTTTAGGCCATTCTTTCCTCTTGATGTCAATTTAATTACTCAAAACTTTCTTTAAAGTCCTTTTTGAGAGCAGAGAATGGCTGTGTCAGTCTTGTTCACAATGGCGGATTCATTGTCATTTCTTTGGGGATTCTTACAATTTTAGACCCTGGGAAATTAGAAAACCTGCTGGTCTAGATGCCTTGACCTTTCTCTCCTTTAACCTGCTGTCCCTCCACTAGAACTTCAACACTCCTGTCTCATTTTTAGCAAAATTGCATCACCTCTCTCCTTCTCAGGGTTTCTCCAGCGGAGCTGAGTCCTGTGTGCCTCCCCTTACTCCTGCCTGCACTGGTGAGGCAGCTCCTTTACTAGGGACACTGTGCTGCCCTGTTCCAACAGGAGACACTCCATCATCTGATCCACTAAGTATCTGGCAGAATAAGTAGTGTGTTTACTGTCATTTTAAAGTAAAAAAAAAAAATGAAATAAATGAGGCTTGGAGATGAGTGCTAAGACCAGGGGTCACGAAACTTAGAAGCAGAATCACTGTAACTCAGGCTTCCTGAAAGAGGAAACACTATTATCAATGAATGTTGGCTCCACCATGCTGTGTGACCTTCTAGAAGTTATTCAATCTTCTTGAGTCAGTTCCTCATTTATAACACGGAAATAATTTCTACTTCTTAGGGCTCTTTAGGCATTGCTCTTGACCCAGCATTCTGTCCATTTCCATTTTAACTTACTTTAATAGCTACTTTGCAAAAGATTCACTTTACGAGTATAATGATGGCATATACTTTTTACTTTGCTTGATAATTTAAATACAGCAAGAACATGGGATATTTAGTTGTTAATAATCAATGTTATTACTAGCACTTTCTTTTTATTCCTTTAGTAAGATGCCCATAAAACCAACAAAAATATTACTTGTCATTAACATTCAGAACCTTCCTCCATTTGCCTTTATTTGCTATACTGTCACACATGGGATCACATATTCTGATGTGACATAACTTTGGTGATTGGAGAATAGATTAATTGCTCAACTGTGTTAGTCAGTTCAGGTTGCTATAACCAAGTACCATAGACGGAGTGGCTCAAACAACAAATATAATTTAGTTCTCATAGCTCCAGAGGCTGGGAAACTCATGATCAAGTCACAAGCAGACTTGGTGTCTGGTGAGGACTTGCTTCCTGGTTCATAGGCGTTCCCTCCCACGTCCTCACATGGTGGGAGGAATAAAGGAGCTCTTTGGTTCTCTTTTTATAAGGTCACTAATCCGTTCATGAAGGTTCTACCTTCGTGACTTAAATACCTCCCAAAGTCCCCGCCTCTCAATAATCATCACATTGGAACTTAGGTTTCATGACTTTTTAAGGGACATAAACATTCAATCTATGTTTGTTTCTGCCTAGCAGTTCAGAAATCAGACTTTTGTTAGAAAAAAAATTAATCAAAATATGTCTACTCCAGTTTAAATAAAAACACTGCTAAAATAATTATGCATACGTAAGAAAGAAGACCAACACATGTAAATTACCTTATAAATTTAGATTGACAGAAAGATAAATCCTTAAAGAAAAAGCACATGTAAGATATATTGTCCAAACACGATCTGAACTAAAAGCAGCAAGTGCTCTAAAAGGTTTTTTTTTTTTTGGCAAAAATTTAATGTCAAAACCAGCAAGACATATAAAGATGACTAGTCTCAGATGTTTTAAAAGGTCGTTTGCAACACAGTAGAAGTGGGTGGTGAGAAAACCTTAGCGATTATGTAGTTCGATATATTCATTTTACAGAAAAGGAAGCCAGTTCCGAAAGGTTAAGTGACTGTCTAGTTAAGGACAAAACCAGGATGTGATCCCAGGCCCCTGACTAACAGTCCAGAACTTTTTGCCTGACACCAAGCTGTCTTTTATGTTTGTGTGTGTTGGTTTGCTTGTTTGTTTTTTGAAGGAACATGTGCTCTCTCTCTAATCGCAGTGGTGCCGTGGCCTGTCCTACCTCTTGCTGGGACTGCTGAAACTGCTGCGTCAGCTGTGTCTGTTCCAGCAGCAATCTTTCCAGTTCATCAGACTTCTGTTTCATTTCCTTCCTCAAGTCCGCTGAAGCGCAGTCACTATTGTCAATTTCCTTTTTCAAGCGAGACTCAAATTCTGCAACCAGATTTTTAAGGTTTTCAATTTCCTTCTCCTTTGACTCAGATTCTTCAGTATATTGGACACGGGATTCATGGAGCTTTTTTTCAAGAGTGGCCACTTGCAGCCTTAGATCTCTAGTGGCGCCTGCGATTAAGTCTGATATCTGTGAGATAAATCTTGTATTAGTTTTTAGGCAGTATCTCTAGGTAGACACAGAGTTCTTATCGTTTTAAGAGGCTTATTCTAAATAATCAGTGTACCCTGCTGATCAGAGGAAAACAAACCCTATGACATATGCAGGCTCCCGAGATTTTCTTTTTAAAAGTTAAGACTAAAACTTTTATGTTTACCACCTTGAATGGATTGCATTAATCATTTGGGCATCCTTGGAAATATATTAATCTCTGTAACTGGATTAAGCTGCCAAGAATAGCTTACGTTTTTATCTGGATTCACTGTAGAGTGACTTTGTGATGAAAAATGCCCAATGCTTGGGGGCCCATGAAGGGGAACACAGCCACTATATTTTATTCGTATCAGGCCAATCAGTTTTCCTTTGAGATTGTTTTCTTTCTTGTCTATACTGAGTGGAGGGAGCTCAGAAACTACACCTTCTAGAGCAGCGGTCGCTAGCCTTTCGGACCTCACTGACCACCAGTAGTCTGTGGTCCACCCGTTGGCGCCCGCTGTTCTAGAGCATTACTGTCCACTAGAACTCTCTGTGATGATAGAAATATTCTGGGATGTCCAATAGGGTACCCACTAGCCGCAGGTGGCTATTGACAGGGGTGTGCTGGTAAATGTTTAACAGCCGACTCACAAGCACACACAAGCCAGGTCTTATGTCATCTCCACAGCATAAACACCCTCACCATGACCCGGTCCAAGCTACCAAGGTGGCATCACTGATGGCTGAGCGGGGAAGAGATGCACACAATAGGCTCTCACTTGCCAGTACCACCCAGTGAGCATTGGAAATGTGGTCACTGTGACTGAGGGACTGAATTTTTCATTTGACTTCTATTTAATTAATTGAAATTTAAGTAGTCACAGGTGGCTACCACAGTATACAGTGCAGTTCTAGAGGATGCCAGAATACTGTAAAATATACTGCTTTTCAAAGTGGTGCCTCTAGGTAAAGAGAAGAGAATGACGGTCTTTAGAAGGGAAAAGACTGCTTGTTTTCTCTCGCCTTGAAAAACAAAACAAAGAACAGAAAACAACGCAGGAAGAGCAAAGCTGCTTCTGACGAAACATATCCTTATTGTTTATGCCACGGATATTGTCAAGTAATACATATTAGGACAACAAGAAACCAATCCATGGAGAATCTGGAAAACATTCAGAGACTAAAGTTCCAAGGATTTTGTGAACTATTCCTTAAGAATTAAGTCTACAAAATTTGTTCCAAATGTTAAATTTACATTAAGAATAACTTCTGCAAGAAATCTATTCACCACACTTTGTAATTTTATAAATTAAATTAATATTCCATGATCTCCAATTAATCCAGGAAGGAAGAGGGTCACTGCTAGTCCTGGACAGTAGTTTCCATCACCCGGAGGAGACATGGCACCAAAACAGAGCAGGTTGTCCCTGGGAGGTAGGCTCACATGGCCACAAGTGTGTTCTGATTTTTTAAAAAGGGAATCAACATTTAAAATTCAAAGCGTTTACTTTAAAAATCTGAATTTACGAATTTGCGTGTCATCCTTGCACAGGGGCCATGCTAATCTTCTCTGTATCGTTCCAATTTGAGTATATCAATAAAAAATATTTTTATAAAAATAAAAAGTAAAATAAAATGTAAAAAAGCAAAAAAAAAAAATCTGGACTTATAATTTCTCTTGAAAAACTGAAACCCCTGGCAAGTTGGGGCCTGCCTTTTGACATTCCCCTGCAGATGGGACCCTGAGATAGCAGGCCTGAGGTGAGGCGGGGAGTGGGAGGGCATGCCAAGGGGAGCCAGTGGTGACCTGGGGGGCGGGGGGACAGGGGCTGGGAAGCAAGAGGCTTATCTGGGAGAGAACCTGCCTCAGGGAGGCGGACTCTTTGGCGAGCCAAGGCTCCAAGTTCCCCGCATGTACCCATTGTTCCAATAGGACTTCACTTATATGATAAAACACAAATTGAAAGGTAATATTGAAGAGTATTATGCTAAGGGAAATAAGCCAGTCAGAAAAAGACAAGTATCACATGATCTCACTTATATGTGGAATCTAATGAACTAAATGAACTGATGAACAAAATAGATCCAGAGACATTGAAGCATGCAACAGACTGATGAATTTCAGAGGAAAGAGAGGGGGCAGGAAGAGATTAACCAAAGAATTTATTTGCATTTGAAAATCGTACACGGGGAGAGGGGGGGTCTCAGCCCGCCTGCACCCTCCCACAGTCTAGGAGCCCTTGGGGGATGTCCAACTGACGGCTTAGAGCAGGCCTAACACTGCAGTTGGATTTCCTTAGCGCTGCCCCGGAGGCAGGAGAGGCTCCGGCCGCCACCACCGCTGTGCTCACCAGCCATGAGCCCAGCTTCTGGCTGAACTCTGCTACCACTGTGGGAGCTCACTGACCACCAGGGGGCAGCTCCTGCGTTGAGTGTCCGCGCGTCATAGCGACCAGTCCCAGTAGTTCACCGTTTGGTTGGTTTGCATATTAGCCTTTTATTATTTATAGGATATGCATAACCCATCGATAGACAATAGTGCCATGAAGGCCTAGGGAGGGGTGGGAACCAGGTGGAGGGGGACAATTGAGGGAAAAGGGATATCTGTAACACTTCCAACAATAAAGGGAAACATTATTAAGAATTTCAAAACAGCATCTGCAGAGCATTACACCCAAAGCATGAGGCCTTCCTGGGTATGGAGCCCTGTGATACTGCATTTATCATACGATCTTGTAGCCGGGCCTGCCTTTGAGAAGGTTGTACCATATGCCCTGTACACCAAAGCAGAGGCCATTTAATCCCATTTGATGCTTACTTTACACAGACTGTTAATGATTTTATTCAAAAGATTGCTTTCCCCACTGCATCTTGGTTAACACACACACACACACACATGAACACATGCATACTACTACACTCAGGCCTTATAAAAACAGGGAAACCTTAACAAAACTTTAAAGTATATTTAGGGCACATTCTTTCAGAAATTATGGAGGCGGTTACATTTTAAAAATATTTCCCTTCAAAAATCGTTGGAATTGAAAATATTTACAATTAAAGAAGATAGGCTTTAGTTGTTAGAAAATTTTTAATTATGCCAAACACCTCATTATCTTTTGATGTTTGATATTTGATGAGTTGGAATAGCTAATGATGCTAATTATTAGTTACATAATTTGTGCTTTTTTAAAAAAATAAGTTTATTTTTATAAAAAATTCCCTACATAGCTGGATTGCATGCTTGTATAATTCACATCAGCTATTCATCTGGAGAATATCCAAACCATTCTATCTATTGGTGAAAACAAGGCACAGTGACGATGAGGAAAACTGCTGGAGTTATAGATACTGTAGCGCTCTCAGGAGGAAATAACCAACATCCATAGTGTTAAGCCCGTTAAGTAATGGTGATCATCTGAATGACAGACCTTCATTTGTAGCTCCTCTTGTTCTTTCTTATACTTTTGGATTATTTCTTGGTGTTTTTCCTTTTCAATATCAAGTTCCAGTTTAGCTTCTTCCTTAAAGAGAAGAGCTTGCTCCTCAAATTCAACTAAATGTTGGGCTCTTTCCTTGGCGAGTTCAGCTTCAATCTAAAAAATAGCATTTCACACTCATATAAAGTCATTTTACCATAAAATAAGTAAATTAATCTTATTTTCAGGCTCCAATTTTTTTTTAATCCTCACCTGAGGATATTTTTCTATTGCTTTTTAGAAGGAGTGGAAGAAAGAGGGAAAGACAGAGAGAAATATCAATGTGAGAGAAACACATCAATTGGATGCCTCCTGCATGAGCCCTGACCAGGGCCTGGGCCGGGGAGGAGCCTGCCACCGAGCATGTGCACTTGACTGGAATTGAATCTGGGATCCTTGGGTCTGCAGGTTGATGCTCTATCCTCTGAGCCACCATGGCTGGGCCAGACTCTAATATTTTTAAAAATTCTAATTCTAATTCAAAAGATTAACCTAATTTTTAAATTCTAGTATTTTTTAAAAAGTTGACTCAGAACTTAGGCCAGAAAAATTGATCTTGGGCCAAATATTTCAAGATCTTCTAAGACCTGAAAATAAGTAGAAAAGTTAGAACAATATATGATTACAGTTTTGAGAAATACTAATAGCTTTGTCTTCCGTACATTTATACTGTAAACACAGTCCTTGCCAGCAATCCTATTTTTTAAAAAAATCTGAGGCCCTTAGACTAACTTCTGTTGAAAGTCAGAGGGGATATAAAGTACAAATGTTGAGTTTTTAATGGTCCTTTCTTGATGAAGACCATAGATGATCATTTTAATGTGATTGTGGCCAGAAGGTTGTTTAAGGAAAACATGGGTTAGTAATGCCTGTATCCATATTTTGACTCAGAGAGAATCAAAGTGCTGGAAGGAACTATAGAAATCCCTTAGCTCAATTTCTCAAGCTTTTATGACTAGTGGAAAGAATAAACAAGGATTTTGGATTTAGATAGAGTTGAGTTTAAATCCTGGTTCTGACACTTTCCAGTTGTATGCTGCTAATTGTGACTATAATTTTTCCTGGTGGGGTTATGACTAAAGTTCCCTTGGGAGTCCTTATGAGGATGAAATGGGGATGAAACATCTAAGTGAAGCTGTAGCATGAGCAGGGTTATAATAGTCCATGGAGATTACTTCTATGCCCTGATCCCTCAGTCTCTTCCATGGAATCCACACCAAATGATTGTCTGCTCTGTGCCTCTACCATAGAAACTGTAACTCACTCCTTTCCCAACAGGCGTTTCCATTTACAGACAGCACTAAGCATTCGGCACTGCTTCCTTTAGCTGAGCCAACATCTCTCTCCCTGTGGTTTTTAACCACTGTTTTTGGCTCTGCTACTGGAGCAAGAGAGAGTCCTGGATTCCTTCAGGCCTGAGAGTTCATCTAGTGAGATTAGAGAAGGGATCCCAGTGACAGGCTGGCTCTGGATTTACATTGTGCCATGATTCTAAATTCTCAGGGGGAGTTAATGCCAGATAACTTGGGAGAAAAACTGTCAAACCTGATTTCGTGAGACTCTGTGGTTGAGGTCACCATAAGAAGAGGAGAGCTGTCAATCTGCATTTCTCAAGGGAACACTGAAACCAGATTACCAGGAAACAGAGAGATTGCTAAGAAGGTTTGTGGGAAGCCCTTTAAATGAAATAAAATGCAGACAGAAGCCTAGCTCCAGTGTAGGGTCATTGGGTTTACTGTGCTGGGTACAGGTCTGAGCATTTGCCCCAAGGCAAAGCAATTATATTTACATTCACTGCAATAAATTCTTTTGGCTCTCTCAAAATCAATCTCTGGATTGTTTAGGGAAAAGGATGCTGGTGATCATTTAGAAACATATAGGGTTGTTCAAATGTGTTGCTCTTGGACTACTAAAGACAAGGAACACCTTAGTGCAGTGGTTCTCAACCTTGGCTGCACATTAGAATCACTTGGGAATCTCTTTAAAATCCTGATTTCTGGGCCTCATCCTCCGGAAATTCTGTTTCTTTGTTACTAACGCTGTGGCCTCACCCCATAACAAAGAATCAGAATTTTGGAGGATGAGGCCCAGAAATCAGGATTTAAAAAATATTCCCAGGTGATTCTAATGTGCAGCCAAGGTTGAGAACCACTGCCTTAGGGGCACTCAGAAAAAAAGAACAGATGTTCTTGTGAATTCCAGGTACTTACATCCACCTGCCTCCTGGTAGCCATTTAGGAACTTCACAAGTGTCTCAAATAAAGTGTCTGAACCTGAAATCTTGATGATACAAAAACCTGTCTCCACCTGTTCTGCCCCCAGCCCTCCCCATCTCAGGACTCAGAACCACCATCCATCTAGTTATTCAAATCATTCCCCTCTCTCCCTTACCCTCCACACCCAGTCCAGCATTAAATCCTGTTCATTTTGCCTTTACAAAATAAAAACTGGATTCTCTTATTCCCTCTTAGTGATTTCTCAGTGCATTAGTATAAAATCAAAAGGCCTCTACATGATTTTCTATAGGGCCACTGCCAGCCTATATGACACCATCATGTGAATCAACAAAGCACCCCTTCCTTAGATGAATTCAGCCTCATGCCAGGCACAGTACTTGGTGAGCAGAGCACAGGCTGGACTGCAGCCCCCTTCTCTCCCTTGGCTTGTGTTACCGTGCAGGGCACAACCCAAAAGCCGTCTCTGGCAGCCCTGGACTTCTCCAACCTAACTTTCCCCACGTGATCACTGTGCTCCAGCCACACTGGGATAGATAAGTCAAGAACACGTGAAAGAAGGAAATCAAATGCAAAACATGTGGAAAGATCGCAAGGTATGACTGTAAGAGTTAAGAGCCCACCATATACCTTGACAATATTTTAAAAAACCCAACTAAGTAACATTTTTTAGAAGCTCAAGAACAATTCTGAACTATTTGTTTTTAAAAGATCTATGTACTATTTAAAACTAAGTCAAATTAGCATTCCAGCCATAGGAGACTTATTAATTGCAGAATTTTCACTGGATAGTAACACCACTGTGCATTTGGAACCAATTTTAAATGTTCAGCATGCACATTAATTTTCATTCTTCACATCGAAACAACACTTCAAGTAAACAAAAATCCATGGCAATTAGTAAACATATAGTTATTTTCAAATGTGCCATTCTTGTTGCATAGCAACAGCTGATTTTGTTATGTGCTTTTTACGCACTCTAAAGTGATTAAGCACAGGCACAAATGGCTGTCTACATTTTTTAATGATAAAAGCACTTAAGTTACGAAGTTTATTCTAATATGTGCATTATATATTTATAAAGGGAACACTGCATTCCTACACAAAGGCACAGTGACCCAAGAAAGAGATGGCAATGTCATATTAGTGATTCTTCTTTCTCATGAGAGGACTTTCAGGGAACTTTTTATTCATAGCCTCAATAGCTAACACAACCAGGACATAATTATCATATCTTGGCTTTACTGATCTGGATCTTGATTTACTGCTAAGCTGAATTATAAGATTCATTAATAAGAAGTCATGCCCTCTCAACAAAATGAAATGTTATAGAAAATTATACCTGCCAAAATACACCTATGATGTAATTAATTTATTAGAAAGATATCATGGTCTTAGTAAGAACTTACAGAATCCTATACAGGTTTATTTTCATCATCAAATTAACAGCATAAAGCAAGAACATAATACTCTTATATGGTCAGATGCCAACACTAACTTGGTCTACTGGCTGCATTAGCACCTCAGGGACAGAACACAGTGTTCAGTAATACTAGAGTGGATCATGAAAGCAAAGAGTTCACAGGAGACTGTATCTGAAAGTCCTTCCTGGGGTGTGGGTGAGGAGATGAGAAACTTATACACAAGCAAAGGCAGGAAAGTTCACCCTATCAGTCTAAGACAGTGATGGCGAACCTATGACATGCGTGTCAGAGGTGACACGCGAACTCATTTTTTTGGTTGACTTTTCTTTGTTAAATGGCATTTAAATATATAAAATAAATATCAAAAATAGAAGTCTTTGTTTTACTATGGTTGCAAATATCAAAAAATTTCTATATGTGACACGGCACCAGAGTTAAGTTAGGGTTTTTCAAAATGCTGACACGCCGAGCTCAAAAGGTTCGCCATCACTGGTCTAAGAGGAGCTAAGGAGCTAAGGGAAGAGAAGGATCTGTAAGTCTCTATAATACTTTCATGAGTGCAATTTTTGAGTCAAATATGGGATTTACAGTATGTCTTCATACATACTGCCAAACTGCTGTCGGAAACGTTGCTGTAATTTCCAGTCCCATAAAGAATATGAAACATGATCTCACTAGTCCTTCAGTGCAGTGCAAAAACCACTCTATCAAGTGTATGTGTGAAAAATAATCTCTCATCGTTTTAATATGTTTTTTTTTATTGTTAGTTAGGTTGATCATCTTTTTGTTTTTTTAAACATGGATCAGTAAAGATGGGGGAATGTGAATAAGAACAGATTCACCAACTGAGGACACTGAGACTAATAAAAATTAGAACTAATTAAAGAAATATGAACTTTAGAGAAGAAAAAGACCATGCTTCAAAGACCATGAAACAAAATAAGAATGAGACACTTAGAGCAACTTTAGTTCATATTCTCAAATTCAATTGTTGCCCATATGAATCAATTTGTCATACCCAGAAAACCAAGGCAGCAGTTAGTGCTAGCAATAGGTACCAGCTGGGGAAGAAAAAGAGCTGGGAAGGCTTTAGTGCACTGTGCATTGTGCATTGGTCTAGGAAATTCCAGAAGAAAACAAATGTGTGCATAGAAGCAAAGAAATCTATTTGGAATAATCTTCTGGCAAACAAACAGAACTTTAAAGAAGCAAATAAGACACATGCTGATGAAAGCTACATTATCATTACCTTCTCCCTCCAGTTGGCATCATCCAGCCGCTTCTGTCGAAGGGCTTCCTGCAGCTGCTCAATGCTCTTCTGATGTGAAATCAGCATCAGTTCCCTGAAAACCATAAACCTGACAAATGAGTCAAGTCTCATCCCTAATACTCTAAGTTGCACATCTTGGCTCAGAGAATATAATTTCACAACTTAGTCTGTTTATTCTCTTTAGCAAGATAGATAGATAGATAGATAGGTAGATAGATAGATAGATAGGTAGATAGATAGATAGATAGATAGATAGATTCTACTAGATATGATTTTAACTGTTAACAATAATTCACAAACTCTGCATAGTAAGGTATTTTCTCAGGCTTAATTTTTGTGTAATAAGTAATGCTATTTTTGCATGAAAGAGTAACAACATATATGGATTCACAAATATAGTAAAATGTTATACATTGTGGTTCTAAAGTTTATGACTAAATTCTAACACTAGACAATATTTTGCTTTGCTTTGTTTTTTAAAGGAAAATATGTTGGGATGTGCCATAAAATCAGCACGTTTGTGGTCTCTGTTAGATTTATTTTTCTTTTACTTATCTCAAATGCTGACTGGAACACACCAAATCAAGTGGGGGATAAATTCTGAGGTGTGATATGGAATAGTAAAAATCATTAGAAAATTGAAAACACAAAGAACATTTAACATTTTAATCCACATAAATGGATCCCAAAGCTTAGTTTGTGATCCTCCGGGTGGAGGTAATGTGGGGGATTTGTGTGAACCTTTCCCAGGGGCACCCAAATTAGCATTGACTATCACAGGTAGTGGCAAAAGCATGCTTCAGGGGTCCTCAAACTACGGCCCGGGGGCCACATGCAAATACAAATATTGTATTTGTTCCCGTTTTGTTTTTTTACTTCAAAATAAGATATGTGCAGGGTGCATAGGAATTTGTTCATAGTTTTTTTTTTAAACTATAGTCCGGCCCTCCAACGGTCTGAGGGACAGTGAAATGGCCCCCTGTTTAAAAAGTTTGGGGACCCCTGGACGCTTGTTGCTTAGGGTTCCTTCCTGTTTCTATAATCATGACTCTTCTTATTTTCTATGTAGGAGATTCTTCCCCGTTCCTTATTCCTCTTCCTAAGCCCTTCGTTTTCCATCACCAACCTCTTCCTTTTACTCTGATCCCTTTTCTCAAACTCGTGACTTTCATTTATAACTGCTGCTGGACATCTGTATCCTAGTGATGCATCAACACCAAAGATTTCACACATTAAAACGAAAATTCACCATCATCTCCTGCAATCTTGCCTTTCCTTTTGACTTCTGAAAACCTTTCTTTAACAATCAAAATCTTTGTTTGAAATCTCTGAGTCATCTCTGACTCTACCTTCTCCTTGTTCTACCACATCCACTCAATAACAAGTTCTATATATTCCACTTCCTCCTTGTCAAACTATTTCTTTCCTTCTTTTCCCACTACCAACTTCATTAAGCTTCTTGACTTTATCTTCCGCCTAGAGTATCATAACATACCCTCAATCTATCTCTTAATCTCTATTCTAGTCTCACTCACAGTATTATTAAATTTTTTTTTTACTGTAATGAAAATAGCGCCTACATATCTAGTCTAGAAAATTTTAAGAACACAAACATAAGAAAACATATTTAACTTGGTAACCAGAAGTATAAATATCACTTGAGGGAAACTGAGAAAGCAAAACTTCTCTTTCCAGAAAATGCGTTGGACAAGGTGCCTTTACACTTTTCTACTAAAAATAAATAAAATTTTTTTATTATAGAAAATATAAAAATTCATCAATTAACTGGACAAAAAGTGAGAAAGATAAAGAGGACAAAACTCAAGTGAAAGAATGGACAAAGTATCAGTGAAAAACTACTGAAATCTGAATAAAGTCTTTTGGTTAATTACATTATACCAATGCTAATTTCTTAGTTTTTTGCAGAAAAGTGGTTATGCCATGGTTAAGAAAGATAGGCTAAATGGAAAACATCAACTCTCTGTACTGTCTTTGTGACTTTTATGTAAATATAAAATTATTCCAAACGAAAGGTTAAAAAATAATGAAATGAATTGGAAGAACCCCAGCAATAAGTAGAGCACTGAAGCTAACTCTCATCTTGAACTCTCAAATATGATGAACTTGAGCTTTAAAATTTACAGCCATGAAGGGCACAGGAACAGGAGACAAAGGAAGAGTCTAAGAGGACACTCACCTGAATGAAGTTGCATCTCAAAGAGCTACTTACAATATATGTGAAAAATTCACGCTCAGTATGTGTAAAATAAAAATAATATCTCCTCTCAAGGTACAAAAAGGAAACTATTGGCTTTGAATTTGGGTGCTAAGTAGAGGGGGAAAATACAAATATCTCATAAGAATTTGTAGACACAAACCAACTCTAATGCAAATTTGTATCCTGAATTCATATTACCTGAGTGGTCCCAAACACTTCATGTTGAAAAGAAAACTTAAAGTGGTGCTAGTTAACCTTGCCTCCAAATGCCTGGTAGGAAAAACACCAATATTTTGGGGAGAAATCTATCTTAAAACTGGGGCTCAAAGAATTCCTACTGATAAAGATATAAGACCTATGAGATCATAGTGTTAAAAAAATCACAAAACTATTTTTTAAAAGCCACTAACAGGAAGAATGAATAAACACAAAGGTAGCATAATCAAACTCATGAATTCTAAAGTATTAAGTTTTCATATACAGAATATAAAATAAGGACGTTCAATACAGTAAAATAAAGAAATAAGAGTGATTTAAATGACTAAGTTTGAAAAAGAACCAAACTGAACTTGTAGAAATGAAAAATATGGTAGCTGAAATTGAATACTCTGTGAATGGCCAATGTAGCAGATTATTCATAGTTGAAAAATGAAGTGATAAGCTGAAAGGGATATTCAAAGAAAGTACATAGAGTGTGGTACAGGGAGTCAAAAATATAAAAGTGAAGTGACTATATGAAAGACAAATTGAAAAAAAAAAATATATATATACACACACACACTCATTATCTCAGAAGCAAAGGAGAAAGGGAAAGGAAAAAATATCTGAGGAAAATATTCCATATTGTTGAAAAACAACAACCCACAAATCTAGAAGCTCAATGGATTCTAGTAAGATAAATAAAAATAAATCTTACATCTGAGCACCTGGTAGTGGAAAATTAATAACATCAAAATTAAAGAGATCTTAAAAGCCAAAAACAAAAAACCAAAAAAAACTACATTATATTCCAAGGAATGCAAATAAAATGAAAGCTTATTTTCCAACAGAAACAAAAGAAACCAAGAACGGTAAAATAATATGTTCAAAATCCTATGAGAAAATAACCAGCAACCTAAAGTTGGGTACCCAGCAAAACTATCTTTAAGAATGAGACTGAAATAAAATATGCTCAGATAAATAAAACCTGAGTGTTTAGCACTAACTAAAGGACCTTTACTAAAGGAGCATGAAATAATATGCTGTGCAGAAAGGAATATACTCAGAAGCAAGATCAGACATGCCAAAAGAAATAGTGAGCAAAGGAACTGACAAGCACACAGGTGTTAACTGTAGATGCTTTTTTATTCCTAGTTCGCTGAGAACCACAAAATGCAGGTTGGTGGTTTCCTCTGTGGGAGAATGCAATGCAGTGGAATTGGGGAGAAGCACAAGGGACTTCAAAGTTAATGGCAAAGTCCTTTTTCCTCAATTGAGTGATTGATACACAGACATTCATTGTGTTGTACTTCTTCATACTTTACACCTATATAAACCTTCTATGTATCTACTCAATATTTATAAAAACGAATGATAAAACCTGAGTATGGAGTAGAATGTGTATGTGGAGGAAAGAGAATTAAAGGGAGAGACCAAAGTAAGAGAATGGGCAGTTAGTCGTACGGTGGGGTTTACTGACCACTCTGCACACTCTGAGCAAGGCGGTGTCATCAGGCCTCGGAGGGACAGAGGTGACTTGGGAAGGCAGGGTCCCTGTCCAAAGCGTGCTCAAAATCCATCAATGCAAAAGGAAGCTTTATCTTTGAAAGTGTGAAGCAGACCACCAGGTTCTGAGGCTTGCTCAGCAATCTGTAGGCTGGAGAACGGCAAGTGACACAAAAGGAACGAAGGAGGAGGACACGGCCATTCCTGTCTCCTCTGCAGACTCACCTTCCTCTACGTGTCAATTAATACTTGTGTTCTCAGCACTCTGTCCTGGCCCTTTTTACTTTCTTCTCTTTCTCTAGGTGATCTTATCTACTCTTATAATTAAAATGCAATAGAGATGCTGACAGCTCCCAAATTTTATCTCTAACTCATATCTGTTTCGATGCATCCGACTCATGTATCCAACTCTTCACCTGACTGCTCTAATTTTGTATTTCAGAGACATCCAAAACTTAACTTGTTGGTAATCTCAGAGGCTTACAGTGCTAGTTTACTTTTTGCTTGTTAGGTGTCATCTGCTGCTCTGCTCTACTTTTTGTTCCAGGATGCAGGCCAAGGAGCAACTCTTACCTGGAAATGTTGATTTTATGGTTTATAGAAAAGAAAAGTTACCAAACCATAAGACCTGTTAAAGCTTCTGCTTAGAATGATACATATCGCTTCTCTTATATTTCAGTGTCAAGAACATGTCGAACGGCCATGTGTGATGTCAAACAAATGTGGAGAGCATAGTCCTCTCACTGGGAAGTGCACAGTAAGCCACCTGGCACTAAGTGGAGTCCGTCACAACTCCGAGATCCTACTGGAAGCCACTATGAGGATTCCCGCCCTGGAGGTGGGAAACATTCTTTGCTTAGTCTATGGTTCTTTCATCTGGAAGTGATTTCTCAGTCCAGTTTTCTCCACAGCTCCTGGCTTTCCTCTCTGCTATGTACTGGTCTATGTTGACCACATTAGAAGAGGGCATTAGAGATTCTCCCTGTTGGGAAACAGCTTTCTCAATTTTCATCCTCTCCGTAGACTATTTGCCTTATGTGGCAAAAGGGACTTTGCAGATGTGATTAAAGATCTTGGGGTGTGGAGATTATCCTGGATTATCTGGATGAGTCCTAAGTGTAATCACCAAGGTTCTTTATATGAGAGAAGAACTTTAATGTGGGGAAAGGTGATGATGTGAAGACAGAAGCAGAGATTGGATTCATGGGTCCAGGACCCAAGGAATGCCAGCAGCCTCTAATCTAGAAAAGGCAAGGAATGGGTTCTACCCTGGAGCCTCAAGAAAGAACAGCTTTCCTGACATCTGGATTTTAGTCCCTGAACACTAATTTGGTTTTCCAACCTCCAGAACTATAACAAATTGGTGTTGTTTTAAGCCACTAAGTCTGTGTTAATTTGTTATAGCAGCAATAGGAAACTAATACAATGGTCTGCCTTCAAGTGATATTACGAAACTTCAGGTATAAGATTAGTATCTATAATAGTAAACTTGGTCAAAAAAGGAGCAGCAGTCAATGGAAATAAAGAAGCACTTCACCTGGTTTCATAGAATGTTAGTATCACAGAATGGATATGGCTGGCCGTATGCTTGTTAGAAGTGGCCTGACAGCAGAGTTCTGGCTATTTCATTCACTTTTATTTCCTAAGCCAGGTTTCATATTTGAAAAGAGGTCTTACTGATTAGAAAATTCCAAGAAGCATTTTCAGATGGGTGCCTGTGAGTACTTTATAAGTTATATTTACTATTAAAATGGATGGTACTGAATATTTAAGATGCTTGAATATCAGTCTCCCTAGAGACAGTTATAATTTTTTTGGTTAATCCTCACCTGAGGATATTTTTTCCACTGATTTTCAGAGAGAGTGGAAGAAAGGGGGAGAGACAGAGAGAGGAACATTAATGTGAGAGAAGACATCCATTGGTTGCCTCCTGCATGCACACTGACAGGGGTCGGGGATTGAGCGTGCAACCGAGGTAAGTTCTCTTGACCGAAATCAAACCTGCAATCTTTCCCTTCAGTCCATGGACCAACACTCTATCCACTGAGCCACACTGAGATAGGTTTGATAGCTACAGATAGATGAGATAGCTATAATTTTGATACCACCAAAAGTAGAATGCATTTCATATACTTTCCTCTGATGAACCCAGTACAAAACACCCCACTGTTAAGTGTATTCTTTTAGAACAAAGCTGGGAAAGTCTAGTATATTAGGGAAGCTAAAATACAGGAGGCTAAGGTTGGAACGATGTTAATGAAGTATAACTATTCACTGAAGTTTCAAAGAATTATTAAGTTCCTTATGAACTTGTGCAAAATATAAGGTGTTTTGAGTGAACTGTTATAAAAATTATAAGCTTGCATTTGTGATGGTAAGTTTGCTTGATCTGACTACAGAAATAAAGATGTTCATATCTCTTTGATTTCTCATAACTCCAAAAGCTCTTCAGTGTGAGTCTTTTGTGGGACAAGGCAGAAAGAATGATTCTATGTGATATTACAAACAGTTAACTGTCCTTGATTTGCATGCATATAAATTTCCTGGTTAACCTCTCCCTACCCACCTCCCCATTCCCTGGACAAGGTGCAAGCTCTTCCATAGTGTGCTATGTAAATGTGGTTTTTATTTTTGGGATCAGGAGTACCTTTTTCGTGCATATAATCATCTCTATATGCACTAGTCAGTGCCTGTTCCAAGCTAATCAAGGGTGGGTGCTGGGTGGAGAGGGGTCAATGGGGAAACAAATCCAAAGGGGGCATCTGTAATACTTTCAAAAATAAAGATAAATTTTAAAAAAGAAACTGATAAAGAAAAACAATATTGAGCTGAAAGAACCTATAAAGAATCAGCTTGGACTCTAGCGGGCCTTTCTGCTAGAAGTGTAGAGGAACGATAAGAAATGAAACACAATTGTTAGAGACATATTCCATCTTTTCCATGTTATAAAAAGCTGAAAATGTGCAGCTATTTTTGGATGTCATGCAGCTATCCAATTTCCTCTTTAGAACCAATTCTACAGATATTGCTGCTTTAGGTTTATAGGAAACAACACAAAATTGGGTCCTAAATTTGGATTAACTAAGAATCCAATCAAGAAGATTTTCACTAGAATACAGAATTGAACTCCCAGCTCTGATTTTTGGCAAGTCAGAAACTCTCTGAGCCTGAAACACTGGGGGCTTCTGAGTTTTAAATCCTGTGATCAGTGGTTTGATTGGGATTAAATTCATTCCCATCCACACATCCAATATTTATTGTCTACCAGGTGTCAGGCAGTTTTACTCTCTAGGGATACAGTAGTTTTTTCTTGCCAGTCTTTGGAAATACATTAATGCAACTCCCAATTTTTAGAAGAAATGAAGATACTGAGTGGTCGGTGTCTTTCTGAAGTGGTGTTATTCACAGGAGGCAGAGCTGGCTCCAGCTCGTACCAGCCTAGGACTGTCTGCAGTATGTAATGCTGCCTTCACTTTTCATATCTGGGAGAAGGGCTGACCATCTGTAGCATTCTACCCCGCAATTTCACCAGATATATTTTTTAAAAGAATGTTTTAGGACTTGGCACAATAGGCAAACTAGGATCTACTCACAATTAAGATTATTTATTTTTAAAACTTTAATTTTTAAGTTCTTAGACCGAAAAGAAAATGAGAACCTAATTTCTTGCATACACGCAAACATCGAGATTCCCTTAATTGTAGTTAAAAACGTAACTGCAAACAAATGTCAAACCATAATGCCAAATGACAGCTTTCAGTTCTGTTTCACAAGTTGTTCTAAAGGAGATGTCTTCACATTTTCAATCAAAGAGATAATTTTGATTTTGTCACAACTCCTGCCTCCGTTAAAAGCATTAAGTCTGTGATATAAGAAGTCAGCCTCTTGCTCTGAGAGCTATTGATGGAGAGGAAATCAGAGAAAGAAGTGAGTCTTGAGGGGGAAACCCCAATGAGGTTTGTTATTTTGGAATGATATTCCCGAGGACACTTCATTTCATAATCCTTTAATAATAGGATAGCATCCAAATGGAACCACTCCATGGACTAAATAATCTCTATAACTCTAAGTGTAAGGCAGATAATCTTGAATTCAACAGACACTTACTGAATATCTACATCACAAGTGCAGGGTATAAAAATTAATAAGATATGATCTTTGAGGGGTTAGCAATGTAAGGAACAATGATAGGGAGGGAACTAATACATTTTGAGCACTGAAAATCTACCAGGCATGATACTAGATACGTTAATCTTCACAAGAAGACAGCTGTTACTAATTTGCCCATTTTACAGATAAGAAAAATGAACCTTTAAGTGGTTAAATTGTCTAAACTTGAGACTGGTCAAGGTGGAATACACACCTATGTTTGCTTAACTCTAAAGTCCATTTTTAAAAAAATACTAAGCCACACTACCAAAAGCTCACAAACCTTAAAACATTGCTTCCAGCTCCCTTTCTATATTCTATGCTTCTTATTGCTTCTAGCCTCCATGAAAATAGGACAAGCCTCAATGAACACAAATCTTCTCTTCCTCTAGAATGTGCTGTGGAATGTTTGTAAGCTCCACTTCTGATTTTACCTGAGAGTAGAAGACAAAACTCACCATGCTATATTTATTTATAGTGGGTGGGAGAATCCTGAAACACTGCAAAGGTGGGGGAAGAAAACAAGGGGTTGGAGGAGAGGGGATACCAAGGAGGTACCCTGGTTTTTTCTGCTTTCTGCAGGGCTGGGAGGACCCTGAAGACCATGTTACAACATGGTTGAGAAACAGCGGTCACATGGACAAAAGCTGACAAAATCGGGCTTTTAAAGGCAGATGCTGAGGGAATTGTGCAAACTGTAGGAGAGGCAACGTGGATTATAAAAGTTAGACACAAGGACCCTGAGTGAGAAATTTACCTCGCTCAACCTATTTCCTTATGTGGAAAATGTGCAAACTCACACCTGCTTCACAGGTGAGGGCAACAGCTCTGTGAGCCAGTGCAAATTTAAAACTGACCTCCCCTCTGGGTTGGTGAATCAGGAAAAGTGTTCCTTTTAATTTGATGTAGTCCCATTTGTTTATTTTTTCTTGTGTTTCCCTTGCTCAAGGAGATATGTCAGAAAAAAATATTGCTATGAGAAATGTCCTAGTTTTACTGTTATGTTTTCTTCTAGTATTTTTTATGGTTTTGAGTCTAACATTCAATTCTTTAATCCATTTTGAGTTTAATTCTTGTGTATGGTGTAAGACGGTATAAGATCTAGTTTCATTTTTTTTTGCATGTATCTGACCAATTTTCCAAACACTGTTTATTGAATAAACTATCTTTACCCCATTTTATGTTCTTGCCTCCTTTGCCAAATATTAATTGACCATAAAGGTGTGGGCTCTATGTCTATTGGCAAAAATATATAGGAAGGTTGGATGAATATGTTTCTTAGCATTCTTGATACTACCTCAAAACCAGAGATAACTGTGCTTATGGCAAGTCCTCAATAAGAGGTGTTGACAAGTAACAAAGAGAAGAAAAGTAGAAAGCAATAAAAGAAAAAGAGATATAAGAAGAGTTTTCTCTACTGGAAAATGCCAGACTCCACCAGTGATTGGTCCAAGTAAAATTCAGTAGAGTATCACATGTGGTCTTTTTTTAATCTTTTCAAAAAAAAAATCTAACACCAATGTGGGTTCCAACTCTACTTTCATTAACTAACTGTATGAATTTAAGCTTTAGTTTGATCCCTGTAAAGTGAGGTCATGGGGTATAATAACCTTTCAGGTGAAATACATCTTTAATCCTGGGATTTCAGAACCTTGATGTTTCAAATATATATGGAATACTGACATAAACATTAACTATTTTTGGAAGAAATTATTCTTCACTGCACCTTTCATTTTTCAGTGTTATGACCTTTTCCTTTGTCTGATTCAGAAGAGTTTTGGTTGTCTCTAGTTCATTTTCTGCAAGGTTAATCCTCCTTTTTATATCTTCTTCTTGCCTTTCTTTTGCAGTCAGTTCTTCCTGTAAAGTTTTATGTAGTTGCTGACAAGCTATTAAAGAGTCTTCTTTTTCTTTAAGCAATCTAGTATGCCTAAAAAGAAATAGAAAAAAATCCATCAATGTGCATTAGATAATACATTTTCATGTTTATCAAAAGTATGGAAATTTTCATTTGAAATTATATATTATAATTTTAACATATAGAAATTAAGAATGCTAAGGAAATAGATCTGTTATTAAAATTTTCCCATCTAGATAGAAGCAAAAGTCAATAAACAGCTTCAAGATATTATAAACTTGAATTAGGTAATATATATGTAAACAATACAATAAGAATGCCAAAGTACATATTAAATAAAATGTTATTTTAAATGTGGTTTCAAACTCAATTACTAAAAAATATTAATTAAAATATTTGCAATGTATACCTTGATTCAAAAATAACGGATTCAAACTTCAGTTTTCTAAGTTCTCTTTGACAGTCATCAGCTTCATTAGACTTTTTCCTAAAATAATACAAAAGTGGTTCAAATATTTTATTTCAAAATAGTTAAAGTATAACTGTTTTCCCTTTTTTTAAAAAAAATTATTAACCAAGGACATGCTTAGAGAGAGGAAAGGAGAGAAAGAGAGAGTGCGAGCAAGGGAAGGAGGAAGGGAGAGAGGAGAAACACGGATTGGTTGCCTTCCCTCTGCTTCCTGGTTGGGGATCAAACCCACAACTCAGGTAGGTGCCTTGACTTGGAATTCAACTAGTAATCCTTTGGTACATGGAACAACGTTCAACCAACTGAGCCACTCCGATTGGACTGTTTTCCTTTTTGTAAAGGTGTTTTTCATTTATTACTTTTCCTATCTTTATATTCTATTTGTGGTTATATATGCAGATTTCCTTGAAATTAGAAATATATAGTCTAAGGATTTTCCTTGTCAAAATAAATCCAATCTGTTAGTCCAACTATAGGGTTTTTCTTTCTCATTATTTTAATTAGAAAAACATTCTCAGTATCTTCATATTATTTCTACTTTTATGGCCAAGTAAGCTCCTATCAGACTGATCTCCATTTAAGTAAAAGTCTAAACTTTGATACCATTTTTGAAAAAAATGAAAAACCCCTATGTGAAGGTATTGGAAAGTAACCAGGCAGGCAGATTCTGGAGGGATATTAACACTCAGAGTGAGGTGACAGCATGGATTTTACTTGTTTGCTTAATGATTTTACACTTGGGGACAGGCCCAGTCTACACGCACCATGTGGGGGAAACTAAAATTCTGATAGAAAACTGGTAGCAAACTCCCAGTCATTCTGGCCTGAAGAACTAGAGCATAGTGTTTGGGGAAACCACAGCTGCTGTGAAGGATAAACCCTGAATAGGAGAGAGCCAGAGAGAAGGATCTCAAATGCTGCATAGAAACTCTGCCCACATGTCTGGCTGAGCTCAGAACTACATGTGCACAGGGCATATTCCTACCAGCCTAGTTAAAGATAAAAGAACGGAACTATGAGGCCAAAGTAATTGTCTGATAAAGCAACAGCATCCTGCCATTATTTGGAGAAATAAAACAGAATCTAGAATCTCCATTACATAACATAACATTCACAATGTCCAGAATAAAAATTACTCATATAGGAGAAACAGAAAAGCATAGCCTATTCTCAACAGAAAAGATAGTTAATAGGGAATCACTCTGAATTGAACCAAATATTGAAATTCACAAAGATTGTTAAAGGAGCAATTATAATTCTGCTCACAGAATCGACTCTAATTAATGAAAAGATAAGAAAAATCTTAGCAGAGAAATAGAAACTATTGAAAAGAGTCAAATGGAAATTCTAAAACTGAAATAAACATTTGTCTTGATCTTATATAATTGGTTTTGTAACAATACTAAAAAAGTTAATATATGAAGAATGATTAATATTCCAATTTAAATTTATATAAATGTTCATCAAGTCATTATCCGAATGTACCTTAAAATAGCTTATACTGAACAATGAAATGTTACTTTGATTATCAATGGGTTTGCTCTACTTGCAGAATGACTTAGTTTCCAAAAAATGATTTTAAAACATCATGCACATGAATAACATTCATTTATTTTAAACCTTTTTTATAGTAAAATATGATAAAATTGTAAGATATATAAAATTACATTTAAAAATACATAATATAACAAATTATTATTAAGAGAACATTCTTGTAACTACCATCCAGGCCAAAAAAATAAAACTTTATCAGCTACCCTAGAAGCTTCATATTCCTGGTCCCAGCAAAGTCCCTTCACCCTTAAAAAATATCCTTGTGAATTTTATGGTTATCACTTTGATTTTCTTTGGGGTGTTATTACCCAAATTTTATTCCTGAACACTAATATGCAAATTGTCCCCTCAGGAGTTTGACCGGGAGAGTGGGAATTTGATCACTCGCTATGATGGGCAACCAGCAGCTGCAGCCAGGCACTGAGGGAAGGAGGGAGGCTGGGAGGCAGGGAGGCCTAGGGACCCTACCCATGCACAAATTTCGTGCACCAGGCCTCTACTTTCCAAATAAAATGTTAGGAAAGAAGGAATCAGGAAAAGATTAATATGCCATTAGTAAAGTGGGCAAAGGCTCTGCTCAGGCAAGTCACAAAGGAAAGAATACCAAAAGCCACATATGCAGGGATACAATTTTTTATCAGTTAAACTAGCAACTTTTTTTCTTTTTAAGTTATAATACCGAGTGTTGGTTAGGAGAGATGGGTATTTACAAATACTGCTGAAAGTTTGTATAATCTTTTTGGAGGGCAATAAGTCATTATGCATTAAAAACCATAAAAATATGACATGTGGTTCTAGCAAAAATCCTAAGCAAGTAATTGTGAATAGAAAGATTTATCCATATGAATTTCTAAAAAATTTACTTATAAAAGTGAAAAATTTGGAAATTCTAAAAAACAAAGGGTTAGTATATAAGTTATGGTTCATATGTAGATTGAAATACTAATCAATAAATGTATCATGTAATGATGTGAGAAAGATCATAGATCACTAAATAACAATCAAAAGATCATAGATCACTAAGTAAAAATATGTTTAAAATTACATTATTTAGAAAAATGAACTATAAGGCTATCTCATAATATAACTACAATGTTCTTTTTTATATATCCCTGTATTTTCCAGGTTTTACACATTTGATTTGAAATCAAACAAAAATGTTACTTCAAAAGATGCTTTGAGACTCATCAGCCCACCATGACTTTCATTCTGGGTTCAGACTCTTGTACACAGTTTTCCAAATCCAGAGGCAGGGACAGTGCCATTCCTCTTCGGGGTTACTTTATTAACTATGTGGACAATTGATCTGGGCTGCATTTTTTTAATGCCTGCTCTTTAGGAAGCCTATCATCCCAAGAAGTCCCCTCACCATGGTCCGCTCCCACTGCCTCTCCAGTTAAGCCATTCTTTCTATGGTCTACCCTTCACGACCCAATTGTTATCTTCACCTTCATTAGGATGGGAGAAATTGGAAGGGCTAGAAAGAATGCCTACATCTCTTTAAACACTGCATTCCTTCTTTTACTCTCAGCAAATAGTGTTAATCCTTTCTCTTCAAGTGCTTTGAATGAGCCTTCAGAAAGGCCCCTGGTGCTCCTGCCAATCAAAGCAAAGGGAATCAGATGAAATAATTGGATATTTTCCCCTAATCTGAAAGGCAAGGGTCAATACCACTCCACTCCTTTATATGAAATAGCCATTCTCAAACTGCCTCCTTGATATTTCTACTTTGCTATCCAAAGACATCTCAAACTTCCCATATCCATATCTCTTAGAGATTTTCTCACTTCAATAAGTGGCACCAACACAATAATGATACTGAAAGGTAACACCTTATATATCTAACGTAACCCTCAAAGCGGCCCATTTTCCCTTCTTAGAGTTGAGAAAACTGAGACCAGAGAGAGATAGTAATGTACCAGCTAGCAGTGCTGGGATTTGTACCTTAGCAGTCTGGCCTGGAGTCTAGGCTCTTGGTCACTATACTCTATTGCCTCTCAGCTGTCTGACCTGCTGCTGAAAAACCCCAAACACCATCCTTTATTTTCACCTTTCCATTCTAGTCCCCTTCTTCCACAGCCATGCCTACTCCATCAGTAAATCCTGTCAGACTGACCTCCAACATAAATTTATCTTTTTCTTCACACTATAGTCTTACACTAACTACACCAGTCACATTCACCTGTATGAACGCACAGCTTCCCACCTAGTCTCCCTGACTGCTCTTGTATTCCCATTCCAGCCCATTCTCCATGTAGCAGCCATACTGACTGCTTAAAACAAATCCGATAAATTTATTCGCTTGTCCAAAATTCTCCAACAGTTTTTCATTGCCCTCTGAATAAATCCAAATTCCTCACTAGGCACTGGCATACTAACTTCTTACTGCTGCTGTAACAAATTACCACACCTTAGTGATTTAAAACCACCCAAATGTATTATCTTACAGTTCAGAGGTCAGAAGTCCTCAAATCAAGATGTCACTAGGCTATGTTCTTTCTGGTGGTTCCCAGGGGAGAATCTGTTTCCTCCCCTTTCCAGCTTCTGGAGACCACCTGCATCCCTTGGCTTGTGGCTCCATCAAATTACATCACTCCAAGCTCTGCTTCCATCCTCACATCTACGTTTGTGACTTTGACCCTCTTGCTTTCCTCTTATAAGGACCTTTCCTATTACACTGGGCCAGCCAAAATAATCCAGGATCATCTCCCAATTGCAAACTCCATAATTTAATCACATGTGCAAAGTCCTCTTTGACATGTGAGGTAACATACTCATAGATTCCAGGGAGTAGGACATTAGTTTATCTTTGGAAATCACAGCATGTCCACCACAACTGGTCTTCTTCATGTTTCTTGAATTTGTAAAACTCACTCCAAGAATTTAGGGCCTTTGATCTCTCTGTTTTCAGATGTTAGCATTTTAGTATTGCCAGCTCTTTCCTGTTACTCAGATCTTAACTCACAGGCCATCTGCTTAGGGATGCCACTTTATCCAAAGTATACCACCGTCCCCACTACTCACATTTCAGTATGCCTGTTGTATATTTTGTAGTCCTTAACATTACCTGAAATTACCTAAATAGCTCCACTGGAGCTTGTCAATCTTGTTACTCCAATATCTAGTGCCTGCACACAACGGTCATGCCACAAAATCACCACTCAGTAAGCATCTGGCATTGAATGAATGAAGTGAAGTTAGCCTGTTCAATTTAGGATCATGCAAAAAGAAGATCTATACTCTGACAGACACTGGATGCCACCAGGCCACCTATTTGGGAGGCAAAAAGTTTTCAGGAATGACTAGAGAGGTAAGAGGAAAATCTAGGAAAAGTTTTTCTCATTTCCAAGGAGACACCAGCAAAACAAGCCCTTCCTGCCTCTGGGTTGGTTATATATGGATGTGGCACCTGGAACTGCAGATACTTCGTGGTCACAAGGGACCCAGACTTGGGGTGAAGCCAGGCTGAGGGCAGCAGGATGAAGACAGAGGGAACAGCAAGATCTTGGAGACACTGCTGAGCTGCTGGACCAACTAAACTTGAAACCACTACCTCTGTCCCTTGTAGCCTAAAGCAACCTAACTGATAAAATTTGTTTTCCAATACATAACAAGTTCTTATAAACCTTGGGATATAATTTCTTATAAACCTTATGTAAAAGAGAACCTCAAGTTCATCTGTTTAAAAACTGCCCCTCCCCCTTAAGTAAAAATACACAAAACATATAAAAACATTTAAAAATCTTTAAATGACAAAAGAACCATCTTAAGTTGGATATGTGAAACCCATTCCCACCCCTATCCCTCACAAAGGGTGAGGACTGAAATTTTAAATGAACCTGATTTCACAGTACCTTCCAATTTCTGGAAGTTCAGAAGATTTGGAGATTATATATATATCCAGTTCATTTACAAATTGTGTGTCAAGATTTTTGAGTGAATTCTTTGGACTCCCAACTAATTTATCATAAAACAATGGCCAAGTCACAAATCTGGCTTTACTCTACAAATAAAATAGTACTTATATGTGCCTGGGGACCCCCTGAGCTCTGAGTGCCCTGAGCAGTCCCAGGCTCTGATCCTAAATGCCCACCCTACTGCACTTCGTCCCAGGGGTAAAGGAAGGTAGTGTCATAGAAATGGAAATGTTGAAAACAGCCAGCACGGAGAAAGGTTTCCAAAAGTTGGGACCATTTAAGTGGCTCTATCTTTGATAACTCAAATTTTCTAAAAATGGATACTCCTCCTATTCTCTCATTTTAAGAAGTTCTTATGCAGGCAGGAAGCACCCATTTTATAAACTGAGACAACAGCATCAGCATTTGTGCAATTGTAGAGTGATTTTCTCCAGGTAATTCATTTGATGGACTTTGGTGAGGTTATATATTTCTCCCTCCAACTCTAATCTCCTCTGACTCTTACTATTTCTCAGCACTCACATTATAAATTATGTTAGAAACACAATGAACAAAAAATACCACCACAGCATGTGTTCATATTAAGTAGGCAGGCTCCTTGAATATATAGAGAATTCTGTGCACACTTATTCAGTAAAAATAATGCATGTCACAACCAATTAGCTTTATTCCTTTTCCTTGGTATGTTTATTTCTGTGTTTATCTTCTCTACTAACTTCCCAGGACTCCACTCCATTTTAGCCCGTAGGTGCCAGCTCTACCTCTCTATTCCTGCGCTGTTCCCTCTTCACTTCATGAGCTCCAAGAAACCTTCTCTCCATAGGAGGCATCTATATGGCCAAAGCCCTCCCTGATGTTACTAAAGGGTGGGAAATAATGATTTTTCTTTCTGGCAATCACTACCTTGTGTCTCTTTTTTGTGTTTCTTCTCACCTTGAAAATTACTTCCTGGATCTAGTGAGCCAAGGACTCCCCGTCCACTCATTTTTTTAAAATCTTAGCTACCATATACAGAAAGCGAACTATTGTATTTACTGTGCTATTAATCACAATGTTATAAAGCATGAATATTTGTTTTTTCTCATTTTTACAAAAATAAATTATTTTGCTATAAATAATCCAAATATACATTCATTTTATAGCACATTTTTGGAATTTGTTTCTCCTTATGTTGTTAAGAATTTTATTAATGGGGATTGCATTAAATCTGTATATTGCTTTGGATGATATGGACATTTTAACTAGGCTGATTCTTCCAATCCACAAACATGGAATGTCTTTCTATTTCATTGTGTCATTTTCAATCTCTTTTAATAATGCTTTGTAATTTCCAGAAGGTCCTACACATCCTTTGTTAACTTTAATCCTAGGTATTTCATTCTTGTTTTGTTACAATTGCAAAAGGAATTGATTTTTTCCTTTCTTTTTCTCAAATTTCATTCTTAGTATATAGAATACAATGAATTGTTGTGCATTGATTTATTATGTCCTGCAACTTTACTATACTTTTTTATTGTTTCTAATAGTTTTTTTTGAGTCTTTAGGGTTTTCTATATAAAGAAACATGTCATATGCAAAAAGTGACACTTTTACTTCTTCATTCTCAGCTTAGATATCTTTTATTTCTTTCTCTTGTCTGATAGTTAGGAATTCTAGTTGTATGTTGAATAAGAATGGTAACAGTGGACATCCTTGTCTTGTTCCTGATCTTAGAAAAAAAAAAGCTTCACCACTGAGTATATTAGCTGTGGGTTTGTCAAAAATTGCCTTTATTATGTTGAGGTACTTTCCTTCTATACTCATTTTATTTGAGTATTTTAACATATTGTTCTTAGGAGTAGTCCATGGTCAATACAAAACATTTGGTTGCTAAGCAATCTAAATATTTATATTTCTGATGAGGTTCATCTCTAAAACATCAGAACTGAAAACCAGAGCTATCAGGTTATATACCACAAACTAAAAATATTTACTTACTCTAAAAGATTATATGAATTCTATTTTAGTGTTATAATTATAGGTGTGCTATATTTATACTACAAAGTAATTTTTGAAATTTCTGAAATTCAATTTTTAAATCTTTTTTTATCTATTGAATTTATTGGGGTGACATTGATTAACAAAATTATACAGGTTTTTCCCCCCACAAATATTTTTATTGATTTCAGAGAGGAAGGGAGACGAAGAGAGAGAAACATCAGTGATGAAAGAGAATCATTGATCGGCTGCCTCCTACATGTCCCACACTAGGGGTTGATCCCGCAACCTGGATATGTGCCCCAACCAGGAATTGAACCATGACCTCCTCGTTCATAACTTGATGCTCAACCACCGAGCCACGCTGGCCGGGCAAAATTATACAGGTTTCAGGTATACCATTCTATAATACATTGTCTGTATACTATATTGTGTGTTCACCACCCCAAGTCACTATTTATCCCCTTTTTACTTTCCTCTACCTCCCTCCACCCCCGTTTCCCTTTGGTAATCACCATATTGTTGTCCATGTCTATGAGTGTTTTTTGTTTTTCCCCTTCTCTTAATCCCTTCACCCTTTTCACCTCGCTCTCCAACACCCCTCCCCTCTGACAGTCTGTTCTCTGCATCTATGAGTCTGTTTCTATTTTGTTAGTTTATTTTGTTCGTTAGATTCCACATACAAGTGAAATCATATGATATTGTTTCTCTCTGACTGGCTTATTTCATTTAGCAAATGCTCTCCGGATCTTTCTATACTGTTGTAAAAGGTAAGATGTCCTTCCTCTTAATGTCTGAGTAGTATTCCACTATGTAAATGTCCCGCACCTTTTTTATCCACTTGTCTACTGATGGGCACTTGCGCTGCTTCCAAATCTTGGCTATTCAGCTGCCTCCTGCACACCCCACACTCGGGAACTAGCTCACAACCCAGGCACGTGCCCTTGACCAGAATCGAATCTGGGACCTGTCAGTCCACAGGCTGACGCTCTATCCACTGAGCCAAACCAGCTAGGGCTAAAATTTGTAATTTTAAGAAACAACTTCAATATTGTTTCTTCTGGGCAGATAATATAGAGACAACAGTAAGAGAAAAACCTCAGAGACTCTTTTACATGAAGTTAGTAATTTGAACGACCAGGGAAAGCTTTCATACATGCATGGATAAGTAAATTTCTTACTGAGGGAAAGAAACATCTCATGTACTTAAAGATATTTCCAGGTCCTTCAATATACAATCTAGGCCAGAAAAATAGCCGAGAAGAGCAGCGGGTGACCATACCCACACAGCCGAACCCCTGCAGAGGAGTCACAGGGGACCCCTGGGGGGCTTTCTAAACTCGTACAGGTGGCTTAACGTTCACCATCTTACATGAACTTTTCTTTATAGCTGTCCAGCTCAGTCACTGCCTTCTGAAGTTTTAGCCCGAGTCCCTCTACTTGACTTTGCAAATCTGAAACGACACAATATATTCATCCAATTAGGACATTTTAAGTGTCCAGATAGCTTCATAGGGCAAACCACACTCCTTTGGAGTTGCCACTCAGTAGCTCCCAAAGAATCAGGCAGTTAACTGTTGATTCCACTTTGCCCGGATGACCACATGCAGCTTGTCCCTCCTCTAAAACCCCATGGAGTTCATGGGTTTTGGCAGACCCAGTTTGTTGGCCTCCGTTTGCCACAACATCATGCTTATTTTCAAACAGCTAATAGGCTGAATTTTACTCATGTTTCCCAAGGACATTTATGTAGCCAACACACATATGAATTCCTGACCACGTGGCTCACTTGTGAGAGTGACTAAGCTCCTCCTGTGGCCTGGAACTGAAGAGTATTGCTGAGGCCTCCCGGTAGAGCTGAACTAGACAAACCACGTGCGAGGCTCCAGGTAAAGAATTTGTTAACTCTGGGTAGCATCTAATAGGCATTTCAATGACTTTCAAAGCCAAGGAAATGCAAGCAAGAAACTGGCTTCCACAGTCTTGAATTGCAGAATTAAAACAGAGTTTAAGGAAGATTATTCAAACAGCCGTGTCTAACATGTCTGTGGATGCAGAACTGAAACTAAAGCACAGGAACAAATGCGTGGATTCTCTGAGTCCTGCCATTAGGCTGTCAGGGAACTGTGATCTGAGTCCCGGCTCAGCGACAGCCCTTGTCAGCACTTTTTTTTTAATCCTCACCCGAGGATATTTTTCCATTGATTTTTTAGACAGTGTGGGAGGGAGGGAGGGAGGAGAGGGGGGAGGGGGATAGAGAGAGAAACATCAACACGAGAGAGACACATTAATTGGTTACCTCCCACAGCACCCCAACTAGGGCCTGGGACTGAACCCACAATAGAGGTACATGCCCTTGACCAGGAATCGAACCCTTCAGTCTGCGGGCTGACGTTCTAACCACTAAACCAAACCAGCCAGGGCTTGTTGGCACTCTTTTTGGGGATAAGGTGAAAAACAATATGGAGTAATTGGTTTCTATGAAAAAAATATTTAAAACAGTGGAATGATAAAATCCCTATGTTATATCTTCTTGGGTGTTTTAATAACATATTTTTAATAATAAACTTTAAAGTTTTTATGCTTGCATACAAATACACACACACACACACACACACACACACACACACACACACATATATATATATATATTCAATCTGCCTTAACTTTGTTTCAGAAAGGAGAGCCATTTTCTTAAATCAGACAATAAATTCACTCTAAACAAATGTTTTAATTAGAATTTATCAGATATTGGCATAAATTTTGTGTACCCAGTACTTTCACAGAGAGTATTAAATTTTACCCCTGAAACTGCCTTGAAGTTGCTAATAGCCCCATTTTCTGATGAGGAAAACATGAGATTCTCTCTGATTCTCTTGCCTGGTGTCTTACGATGAGTAACTGCATTAGCCTACAGAGAAACTCAGTAAAGATTTTAAACTCTGCTGAGGCAATAAATTTGAGAAAAAATAAGATTCAACAGGACTTACTAGGTAGATAATATTTGTGGGGTACAACTTTCCATTTATCAAGTAATAACATTATATGAGAGAAAAGATAAAATAAATGGAGAACTTATTTTTCAGTATACCCCAATTTAGAAACATAGCAATCTCAGAGATGTTGTGTGATGTGTTTCCTTGTTATTAAGCTCATGTGTGCTTGCAGAGGGGTTCTAGTCACATGGGCACAGCTCAGAGATTTGGACCCACCCTCTGAAGAATACAGAGAGGAAGTTGGTGACTGTTGGTGGTGCTCCATGTCCCAGCACAGTGTAGAGTGCTTTCTCCTGTATCATTTCATTCACAGTCGCAACTACCGTGACAGACAGCTACACGTTTTATTTTTACCAGTGAAGACTCTGAGGATCAGAGTAATTAACTAGCTTATCAGAGGTCAGACAGCTGGTTAGAAGTGATCTTGTGAATCAGACTCAGCTTGGCCTCATTCCACAGCCCTTATTTTTCCAACTCTCTTATACTGACTCAAAATACAAAAGCTAGAAGGGAATATAATACAGTGGGGCCTTGACTTACGAGTTTAATTCGTTCCGAGACCGAGCTCGTTAAGGAGCTCATTAAGGAGCTCGTTAACTGAAATTACTCTATCAACTCAATGCAAAAAATTGGCGGAGAGACAGCTGGTATCTCAAAAAACTCGTTAGTCGGGACACTCTTAAGTCAAGGCCCCCCTGTATTTCTCCGTGAAAGCGTGGGCAGAGTAGGTTTAGACTTGCTTAGCATATCCCAGAATCTCTAAAGAGATATATTTTAAGGCAAATGAAAAGTATTGTTTTATATAAAATATGTAGTAAATCAGTGAAATTTCTAACTCCAACAGATTTATATTTTAATTTTTGAAAGTTTAAAAATTAATGTAATATAATTAAGGAAGATATTAAGACAAAGTGGTGTCATTATGACCAACTTTATGAGACTAACATTTACAACTTCCCGTTAAATGTCCGTTGGTGGTTTGGCAGGATATAATCTTAAACTCTAGATGAAGCATGGGTCTGAGGCCATATGACAAATTTTGTTATTACTTCTAAATGCTATTGTTAAGGGGGAGAATTGATTACCTTAAAAATCCCAAAGAATTGATACTCGTTATGTGAATCTTACAAAATTAATTCTCAATTACCTGATAATTAGAACAGACAGTAAAACTGGCAGCTAATTCAAAACCATTTCTATAACATTGGAAGTATCCTTAGGCTCACATTTGAATATACTTGGTCATCACAGTTCCAGAATTTACTGGGTTTAAAGGGAAATAAAGTACACAATCATATCCAACTCCAGGAAAAAAAACAAACCTATTATATTCTCCACTATTCATCTCTCTATATGCCCACCTATATTTCCCTTTCTCCCTATTTCAAGATAAACATAGACCGCTTAGTCTTTAATTCACAATACCCAATGATTGGAGAAGCCGCTTCCTGCAGATTATTCACTATTTTTATAGCATCTCTGAGTAAAAATAAGGAAAGTAAATATACGTTTTACTTCAAAACACAGAAACCTTTGAAGAGACTGCCATAGAAACAGGAAATATAAGTAATGTCAACAAATAAGCCATATAAGCAGAGAAGATATCACAGATAATTGAAAAAATTATTCATGATGTGGATGAATATCTTTTCATAGCTTCTTCCTTCTTTCCTTCCTTCCTTCCTTTCTCTCTCTCTCTCTCTTTCTTTTACTTTTGGTTACATTTTCTCTAGTAAAGGAGGGCTAAGGATTGTTTTAAAAATGCCACAGGCCATATGTTTACTGTTCTGAAAGAGGCGGTAAGCATCCTATTGGTTTATAATTGGTTCTGGTATTCTAGTAGGGTCCTTTTGTTTTTGCAAGCGGAGTGCCCAGTTCCTGTCCTTAATAAATAAAGGAACACAGTTAGGATAAGCAGCAGAGAGATTAAGCCACCTGCACTAGACAGCGCCTTCAGTTCCCGAGGCAAGGAGTTCTTAAATAAGTGTATTGTTCTGTGCAGTCCTCCTCTGTAGTTAAATAAATTCAACTTCAATTTTCTGTCATTCACCATGACATTGGATTATGAGGCAAAAGGCCCTGAATGCCTACAAGAAGAAAAGAAGCATCGGCTTTAACCACCATGCAGATGTAAGGCGGAACCCAGGGAAACAATCCAAAATTCACAACATCAAACTCTACTAAGATGGGACGGCGCTCTTTGCAGATATTAAATAAAAAGCAAATGATTTTCAATGAACAAGACAAAAAGAGCTCTTAGCCTCTCTTCATACAAAGCCAGCTGCTTGCTGGAAAGCATTACGCAGGCATCAGATTTGGGGTAATTAGTCATTTAAGAGAATCCTGTTATTCTGAAAGGTTTCTAGAACCTACAAAAATACAAAAGGTATTCTTAGTTCTTTTACAGAAGAATATAAAACTTTACAGTCATTTGGAGGGTATATTAAGTTAGTGTAATGTTTTATTTAAAAAAAAAACACAATAAAGAAAACCTTTACAGTGGGAAGATACTTTCAGCTTAAAACTTTCTGGGTATTAAAAATTAAAAACCTGATTCAAAGTGCTATCTGGAGGAAATGGATTTCAGGTTCACGTAGCTGAATGGAAGAGCAAGCAGGCAGAGGACTGGCACCCAGAGATCCAGGGGAATTTTTTTCAATGAGTAATTGAAGGCACCATAATAATATAAATATTATATTATTCTTCAGAGGGAATAACTGAAGAAAAGGAAACACAAAAGCCCACTCTTCTTTTAATACACTCCTAAGACCAGATAACATCAAGCTGTTGTGCATAAACTTTAAAGCCAAAATGCCTTCTTTCAAATTCTGGCTCTGCTTCCTACTGGCGATGTGAATTTAGGCACTTGAGTTTCCTACCCAGTGGTCGGCAAACTCATTATTCAACAGAGCCAAATATCAACAGTACAACGATTGAAATTTCTTTTTTGAGAGCCAAATATTTTAAACTTGAACTATATAGGTAGGTACATTGTTATTAACTTAATTTAGGGTACTCCTAAGCTGGCCTTTGCTAAAAACGTGGTATTTCGTGGAAGAGCCACACTCAAGGGGCCAAAGAGCCTCATGTGGCTCGAGAGCCGCCATTTGCTGACCACTGCTCGAGGGAGACTCTTCCCTTGCCTCCTCCAGCACCAGGCGTTCCTTGGAGTGTGGCTCCATCACCCCAGTCTCTGCCTCCACGGTCACATGGCCTTCTCCTCTCTCTTTAGGCTTCTTCTTTGTGTCTCTTAAA